AGTTCAGTTCAGTTCAGTTCAGTTCAGTTCAGTACAGCTGTATGTTGCCCTGTTGTCAGGAAACCTTCTCTAAAGCTCAGACTCCTCTTCGGCTGATGCTCACCGGTCAGAATACATTGGTCAGACGTCATTAATCTGACTTTAATTAATGGATGATTATTAGAGCAGCAGAAAATATACCAAAAATATTACCATCAACTTTAGGAACTTCCAAAAGTTTCACTTCAGAAACCATCTGGTTTTCAGCTTCCTCCTGCAGCGTCAGCGTCATCGGCTCTGGATCAGCACAGTCCACTAATTCCTCCACGGCTGCCGTCTCCTCCGTTGTTTCCTCCTCCCCCTGTGTCTCGTCTAGCCTTTCTCCCGTCTCTCCTCCGTGTTCCCGTTCCTCTGTCTGCTCCCTCTCAGTCTGTGGAGAGAGCGTGTTCTGGTCTTCCTCTCTGCACTGCTGAGGCTGCAGCTCCTCTTCTTCGCTCTCCATGCTGGTGACAAAAGCGGGCTCTGCGGACAGAGGAGGGCTGAGGGACGGCTCCTGAAGGCTGGGGGGGGTCAGAGCGGGTGGAATCTTGGCCATGGCAGAAGCCACGGCCGCGGCCAGAGAATGCGGGGTGTCGTACAGGGCAGAGATGGCCGAGGAGATGCTCTTCTGTAGGTCCTGGTTCTTGCTCACAGAGTCCTCCTCGTCGGAGGAGAAGGAGGGCAGCGTCTCCAGGTTGTGTTTCAGCTCCTCGTCCAGAGGCTTGCAGGGACTGGGGCAGGTGCTGAGGGGCAGCTCCTCTGCCTCGGCCCGCTCCCCTTCAGTCAACGTACCTTTTGGAGGAGTTTGTGGCAGTGAAGGAGGAGCAGGAGGCGGAGATAGGGGTCTGATCCTCTCCTTCAGAGATGAGCAGGAGTTCAGGGGCTGCAGCTCGCTGCCGTCATGTCCTGGATCCAGGCCGGACTGTTTTTTGCCAGTCTTTAAGAAATCCAAAAAAGAGTCCATGAACCCGGGTTTGAAATCAAAAGCCTTTTCATCAGCCTGTAAAAGAAGAGAGTTTTTAATTAAAATCCCAGAGTCACGTGTGTGTGATTCAAACCACAGACAAACAAACATCACTTCATCTCATTGTGAATTTATGTTGCAGTTTTTTTTGCTGTTCCAAACTTCAAATTTCTTCAAATATCAATTCATCAATATGAATTTATTTGAAGAAAAATTTGATGGAATAAAAAAAAGAATTAATTACAGATTTTTTTTTTTACAGAACTGTGCAGTAGTATATATTAGTAGTACTTTTTGGTATATTGTTAATGATAAAAATGATTTTCAAATTATTTCACCTCTAAAATATGCCCTAAGTAGATAAGTTATATTGGGGGACAGACAGCAGGTGGCAGCACAAGCCCTGCTCCTTAAACGCAGTAACCATGGCAACAGCTACCCTGGTAACAGCCATCACTCTTCTATCTCTTTGTCAGTCAGGGAGCTGGCTGTCAATCAGCTTTAACCATCTTTCCTTCCAAAACCCCCCCAAAAACCCCAGCAACAGGAGGGAAAATGGAATTTCTCAGATTCGGCTCCTCTTAAAACGCACCTTTGAATTCAGGCTGGAAAAAAAAAAAGGATCAGCAGCCTGGGTACAACGTGACTGCTTCAGTGAGGTCTGAGAGATGCTTGGTAATGCATGGTGGGGTGTGTGCTGAGTGGAAGAGGTAAAAGTTACAGTACACGCTGTGAGGTGGGGTTTCTGAAGGAGGTGAAAGGTCTTACTGAGGAGGAGAGTTTGTGGAGAGCAGCCCAGGCTTCAGGGTTCAGAGGATCCTCCGACTCCTTTTTCCACATCATCTGTGTTCACACGAACAAGCGTTAATACATCCATTCAGCAACGGTCATGTTTTTAAACTAGACTCTGATGACTGAGGGTCAGAAACATCATCATCATTTTATTATTCAATCGTCTTTAGGTTGCTGCCTCCAGGTGTCGCCACCTAAGACTACTTGACTCTCTCTATGTCCTGCTTGTTCTACTGTTCCACCAACCATGACCAAATACTTATCAATGAATCATCTGTGGTCTGATCATCTTCCTTCCCATCTTCACCTCACCTCTCTGACTTTACCTCCAGTCTCTGAACCAACGATTTCACCATTGGTGACAGATGTTCAACATTACGTGTTTTTTTTTTTTATAGAATGACAAATTGTTTATCTGTTTGTTCATGCAAGACTTTGAAAATCTCTATTCCGACCCACACATCATAGCAGGTCTCACTACCCTCTTATAGACCTTCCTGTAACATTAATAAAATATGTAGCACAAACATCATGTTGTAGTTCTCCTCTCTCACCACTGTTTTTCTGACGTGACCTGTTTGGGGTTTTTTTTTTTACCTCTTCAGCTTTGTGCTGATGCATCGTTGTTGTGTCTTTCATCTGGTTTTGCTCATTTCTGCTGATGTCCATGGTGTTGCTAGGTCCGGGGCTCAGACCCAGAGTTGGCGCGGAGCCCACTGATCCATCAGAGAGAACCGGTTCATAATTTGACAGAGAGTCTGTTCTCATTGACGATTCAGAAGGTCGTACAGTGGAAAGAGGCAGCTTGATCTAACAGAAGAAAAAGAAAACCCAGCCCACGTTTGAGAACCGACCGACCGACACCAAACAGACCTGATTGTTTGTTAACCCTAGTTGTATTTATGTCATGTTCCTACGAGATCTTACCTTGATTGGTCTGATTGGGTCTTGCATCAGCTCAGGTGGTTGATGGTGATGCTGTTGATGATGTGGTTGGTGTGAAGAACAGGAAACATGTTGCTGCTGTTGGTGCAGGTGATGTTGCTGTGGCTGTTGCAGAACTTGATGGTGCTCCTCCTGTTGTCTCTGATGTTGGTGCGGATGTTGCTGGAGATGTTGCTGGCTGAACTGTTGATGCTGCTGCTGCTGCTGCTGCTGCTGTTGATGGTGATATGGTAGACTTTGTGCTTTCATATCCAGATGCATTTCCACACGCCTGTCCTCCTTCCTGCCTCGCCCTCGGCCTCGTCCGCGACCTCTCTTGCTTTCGCCCGTTGCTGATCCAGTAATTCCCCGACAATAGGGGGGTTCTGGCAGTGGACGTATGCGTGGTCTACCGCGTGGGCGGGGGGGACCTTCACGTTTTGGCTTAGTAGGCTTCCTGCCTCTTTTCTTGGGACCGTCATGAGTAAGAAGCTGTGGAGTTTGCCCCAGGGCAGAGTAGTTGCTAGGGTGGCAGAAGTCCACATCAGTCGTCAATGGACTGAGCCCACCTAATCCTGACGGCCCACCAGCCTTCCTACAACTAGACACCAAGTCAGGAAGTATATCAGGAAGGCGTCGGCTGTTGAGGCGGATATCAGCTGGGGCATCAGCCTTATCCTCGTCATCCTCAAATTCATATTCCTGCGCATAGTTTTTCTTTGTTTGAAGTTGAGGCTCACGTCTATGTTTGAGCAGGTGGAAGGAGCTGGTTTTCAGCAGCTTCTTGGGACGAGAAGAACAGAAGATGGGTGAGATTAGACCAGGAGTGCTTGAATTTCCACCCACAGCTCCCATCAATTTGTTTATTGCGCCATCTACTTGGACGGCCGAGTTTAATCCGATGTTAGCGGTTTGTGAGTGGAGTAGACCAAGTTGATCAGTATTGACAGTAGAGGGAAGCTCGTTGGTCTTCATGGTGTCAAGATCCATGTGAAGACCACTGTTCCCTGGTCCTGGATGGTTCCTGGAAGGATAATATGGTCCATAGCCTTGATCGTTGTGATGATCGATCATGTCATAGCTTTCACTTTCCACACCTGCAGCTTTTAAGGTCTGCAAACCCTCTTGCCCTCGACCATGACCTTGTGTTAGGCCTTCTTGGATTGCCTGTCCTGCCCCAGAATCCCGGGCACAGCCAGTCTTGTAGTCAGCTGAACTGAACATGTCCTCCATCTCTGGAAAGAACGGGTGTTCTCCATCATGTAGAAGAGAGTCTGTGAAGCAGACTTGTGTCATAGGAGTAAACCGTTGCTGCATAGCTTGGTTCTGTCCGACTTTACAGTCTGGGTTGACTGTGTCGAACCTGTGCTGCTTCAGCTGATCCAGATGGGAGTGTGAAAGCTGGATCTCAGACTCTCTTTGTTGGGACTGCTGCTGCTGCTGCTGTTGGAGAGACCCCATATTTGTTGCCATCCTGTGGGGATGTCCGTGTGGTAACTGAGAGTGTGACATCTGATGGTGACCTTGTGCTTGCTGCTGTTGGTGGCAGTGAGGCTGAGGTTGGTTGAGATTATGTAGATGAGGGTTGTTGGACAAACCCAGGTCAGGTTCAGAGAGGAAATCATTCAAATCTGATGTCGGTTGTTGGCCAATGTGTTGGGGTGTAAGTCTGTGAAGCATGTCGTCACCTCCACCCTCACCTCCTCTGATCGTCATCCCGATCCTAGTTCTCTCCAGAGCTCCACCACTGTCCCTGCTGTTAGCCTGGGATAGTGACTGCTCTAGTATATCGAGAGAAGGCAAGGAAGTCTGACTGGCTCGATTTGGCTCTCTAGACTGGGGTCCCATGCTGTAATGCGAATCTATCCGTTGGGTCTGTTGTTGGAGTTGGAGTTGTAACTGTGAGGACTGGCTCTGTGAGTGGGATTCGACCCTGGAGGACCCTGTTCCTGCAGAGGAGCCAATCATGGCCTGTTGCCTTAAGGGATGCTGCTGTTCCTGTTGGGAAGTTTGTTGGGGATCCATCTTGGTGTGGCTGGGTTGGGATAGAACAGATTGAAGCATGTGGGTTTGATGGGGGCGTGCTGGGGGTGAATCCATCAGAGAGAGTGGAACCTGGTTCTGTTTGGTCTGCTGCATCTCTGGTGTGTTACACAAATATGAATCTTCACTTGCGACGGCAGTCTTGTTCAGTTTCATGTGATTGTGTGGCTGGGAATGGGGAAGGCCTTGCTGAGAGTGTTGAGGGTGCTGTATTTGTTGCGGGTGCTTGGGCATCTGTGGGTGTTGGGTGTGGGAGGGCACATGTAAAGTGTGATGGTAGTGGTGCGGGTCTCTTTGCTGACTATAGGAGTCCTCTTTTCCATAATGGTCAACAGGTCCCATGGAGTCATGCTGTGGTTGGCTGGAACAGGTCACATGGGAATGGGAAAGAGAGCCAGCGCCCCCTCCTATCCCACCAGCAGCGGACTTTAATATGGTCATCTCTGACTTGCTTTGCTGTTGTTTCTCTTCTGAAATTTCCAACTGACTGTTTAAGCCGCTCGCTGCCTCCATAATTGTCGTTTCAGAGCCAGAACTGCTGGCTGTGTTGTTGGTACGAATGACACTCTGAAAGTTATAACGCTCTTCTGAGATCTTATTAATGTCAAACAGCACCCCCTTGCTTTTCTCATCTCTTGCCTCTGGGAGAGGCTGAGGGATTGGCTGAGCCGGCAGATGATGCTGAGAGGAGTGAGGAGCTGAGTCCTGACCGTGGAGGAGGTGGCTAATAAGGAAATCATCGTCCTTCTCCTCTTCTTGGGATTGCTGTGCTATCAGCACGTTGGTCTCTGGTTTTGGCTTTGGTGGTGAAGCGTGATAAGACTGATTTTGTGCTTGCCGTGTATCGTGAAGGTCTTGTGGAGAGGATATAAAATTAGGAGAGAGGATGGAGGACAAATATTTGGTGGCACCTGATCCTCCGGGGGACTGCGCAGGGCGAACCGCCGCCGGGGAGTGCAGTCCAGGTCGACTTATTGTAGAGCTGATGGAGGACGAGGGGCTAGACTCAGACAGGTGGTAAGAGACGCTGCCTCCATTACCAACATTGGTAGATACACTTCCAGATACGGCAGAGCCAACACCGCTACCAAGAGCAGGAGCTCCTGATACAGGCCCACTTCCTGTTGATTCTCCAGCATGCCCATACCCTACGGATGGACTGCCTTCCCTTCTCAGAGAAGATGAACCAAAGCTCGAATCCCCAAAGAGCATCTCTGCAGAGAACGAGTGTCCTACGGTGCCCACGCCATTGAACGCCTTCACTCCGGTGACCTCTGGTCCAGAGCTCAGGTCCTGGGAATGTGGTGAGTTAAAGCCAGCATACGAGTGGGCCTTGTATGCAGCGGCTGGCTGAGTGGGTGAGTAGGACTGGACATGTTGCTGGGGAGAGGTCTGGTCTGGCAACCCAGTGCTAGAGTTGGCCACAGACAGGGAGCCATATGTTGGGAGGCATTGTTTGGGTGCTGGTTGCTTCCCAGATGATAAAACTGGAAGAGTTGTTGGCACCTGCTGCGGCGGTGGCTGCTGCCGAGAGGGCGCAGGCAGTGAGCCAGTGCTTGGGTTGGAGCTGGAGGATGATGAAGAAGAAGAAGTGGAGGAGGCTGACGGTGGAGTGTGTGGAGTACGGGTGGAGGATGAACCGGATGAGGAGTAGCCACTACTGGAGCTGGAACATTTAGCTCCCTTAGCTACAGATGATGATGTGGTCAAGGAGCTAGAGGACGAATAAGGAGGTTGGATGATGGGGTGATATGACTGGGCCTCTGTTCTTGATAAGGGCTTCAGGTCGGAGGATGGACTCTGTTCTCCCAGAGGGCTGCAGGACACACCAGGATGACGGTGATGGCCAGGTATCTGCTGATAACTCGACCCACCACACGTGACATACTGGTGCAGCGGCAGTGCAGTGGAATGAGAAGGAGGTGAACGTTGGTAATGTTTGATCACACTGTCTTGCCTTGAAGCCCTTTCTGGAGCAGTCAGGGGCTGAGCCGGGGTTGCCGGAGGCAGAGCTGGTGCGGATGACAGCATGGATGTATTATAGAGGTGGGCGGATTGGTTATGGAGCTGTGAGGATAACAGGTTGAACTGGGAAGGTGGCATGTGGCAGTTTGAAGAAGATGAAGGTGGCTGAATCTGTGAGGGCACCGGGGGTTCGTGTGAGCCCCGGTAAGTGGCGCTGTGGGAAAGTAAGCGGTCGAAGCCCAGGCTGGATTGAGAGGATGGTTTGATGTGCAGCAGGGGATCGTGGGGAGACAGCAAACCGTTAGATGACGGGCTAAATGTCGGCGTATCTTGTAAGGAGAGTGAAGGGGTGAACGCTCGTCCAGTGAAGGAGCCAGGATGCTGATATGCAGACAGAGTAGAAGAAGAAGGAAAGGTGCCGGAACCTGGAAGTGCTCCCGACATAAAGAGCTCCGTAGGGGCGGGGCCATGCATTGCTAGGAGGCAAAAGATTGGATGGAATATGTTAGTCGATCTAAGTCAGTGTATATATCAATAACATTATTATTATTATTACATTTATCCACTGAAAGTTTCCTCAATAAACACACAAAAATAAATACTGAATAGTTCAAAAAATTGACACTTACAAGTTTGCCAGGACGGTGTTCGAAACTGAGAGAGGAGGGAGGAAGCGGAGGAGGAGGACTGTGGGCCTCGTGACTCCAGAGCTGAAATCAGATTCATGACGGAGGGGTCAGGACCAGAGGGCCCGGAGTGATGGAGGCCGGCATCAAACAACGCTGAGAGACCTAAGAAAAAAAAACATGTCACTTGCATTCTGTTGTCTGGTCTGGTTTCACCGATGTTAATGATCTCAATGTGACTTTTAATTATTATTATATTCATATATTTTTATGTTTTTTCCCCATTTAGATCAAAAATAGGAATAATTAACACTCAAAATCCAATACTTCCTTAAAGGCTAGAAACCAGAGATTACCAAAAACAATCTAAAGATGAAATCCTTACCAAGCGCACGTCCGAACCAGATGAAATCCTTACCAAGCGCACGTCCAGCGGAACCCCAGGTCCCACCCTGTCTGGTGCTTCCTGGGTGGTGGTTGGGTGCATACCCCTGAAGAGGGTGGGGGGGTCCATAGGCTTGCCTGTGGAGCAGCTCTGAGTCTGCATGGGAGGCTCTGGAGCTCCCATACACAAAGCTAGGAACAGAGGGGAACAGAGGTGACTTAGAGACTGATTTCTGTCCAGAATATCTTCACTCTTTACATATTTCACATTAGTATTCATTGTATTCATTACAACGGAACGCTAAGGCATGTTAGAATTTCACGTGTCTGCCCCCTGCTGCTATCAATAATAAAGACAAAAAAACATTTGTCGATAAACGCCTGCTGTTTCATCAGTACCGAGGTACCGGTCCGATGTCGTCAGGTATTTTATGGCAACAGGAGGAAAAAAACACTACACACATTATATAAACATATGAATATATTTTAGTAAATTATTTTTCAAAAAAATAAATAAAACACTACACACATTATATAAACACATGAATATATTTTAGTAAATTATTTTTCTATACATGACTTTAACATGTTGATTTTATTACAAACAAAATAACTTTTAAAGGCATCATTCTCTGTCTGATTTCTTATGAGTAATCGCGATGCATAGATTCCAGCCCAGTAGGTGGCAGTAAAGCACCTTTAATTTGGTTGCTAGCCCAAAGAATTGATGTCAGTGGACAGAAAAAAAAGTTTGATGAACTACTAACATTTACTGGAATTATAAAAACTTTTCTGACCGTGTCAAATATCATTTAAAAAGAAATGTGATTTAACAACAAAACCCCTAATTAATGTATTTTTTTTATCTTGTATCATCACTAATAAAAATGTTTAACCTGTTGTTTATTAGGTGTTTATGGGGGGGTAGTTTGGGGGCCCCGGGGAGTTGTTTTTTTTTCTGCCAAATGATAAAATCCGGCCCTGCTCGTCTGGTGTTTCACGTCCAAACCCAATTTCTTTTTTTTACCTGAACAGCCAGGTTAATCTGGGACATTCGACTAAAGGTTCTAAGCCCACTTCGTGTTAGCATGTCTGGAGGCCGCGCTGGATTCCTGCACACGCAGGCTGTCTGGACGGAGCCCGCGGCTGGTTCTGGAACCCAGGACGGGATCACCCGGCCCGGGACGACGTGTGCGAGCACAGACCCGGGCAGGGTGACTGTACACGAACTGGCCGAACGAGTGAGGAGCAGCAGCAGCAGCAGGAGCAGCAGCAGGAGCAGCAGCAGCAGCCTGTTAGCCTGAGCTGCGAACACAGACAGCGGGCTCACAGCTGACACCGAGCCCGCAGCATGTGCAGCCCCTGGACACGTCTGCCTCTGGTTCTGCTAGCACCAGGGTTCTGGAGGCTTTGTCACTAATGATTCACTTTATCCAGCGGCTGTCAGCGGCTGATCCCACCGTCAGTGGCGGCAGGAGCCGTGGCTGTTTGGACCGGTCCGGTGTGGGCATGAAGCAGCGGCGCTGACACGTTGTTCCGGGAGCTGCGGGACCCGAGGAGGTTCTACAGGGAGAAGAAGAGTTCTCTCCCAGAAGCAGCAGCGGCTGAGTACAGCCTGTTACTAGCGTCAGTACACGGTCAGTCATGGAGTCAGTGAACCGCTGTCACACACCACTCCAGTCCCAGTCCAGACAAAGCTGCAGCGGGGACAATGCCGTGCAGGAGTCCGCATGTAAGCTATCATTTTCCCCATGAATAACACAGTCTGCTCCCAGGCACAGACCCATCCCCCTTCATTTTTTCTTCGCTGCTCTCCTTCGTCTCTCTATTACTATTAACCTTCCATTGCATTCCATGCATTTTAGAGACACCCCCCCTCCTCCTCTTCCTCCTCCTCCTCCTCTCATTCCCTGAGATGACAATACGCCAGGCTCTACCTGAGCAGCAGCAGCAGCAGCAGCAGCAGCATGTGCCACGGCATTGTTAGAACCTCCACAGTGTGGATGTAGAAGCCCAGGCTGAAGGCTTACCTTGCTTTGGCGGATCTGTCGTAAGTCCATCCCGTCCCAGCCCCGAGATCTCCGAACCCTGCAGCAGAATAATTCCTGTCCATGAAAGAACAAGGAAGGAGAGGAGAGAGGAAAGGAGAGGAAGGGCTGGATGAAGATGGACAGAACGTGGAGGAGGAGGGGGAAAAGGGAGGGAGGAATCTCTGCTCAGCTCTGCACTCCTTTCTGTTTATTTCTCCAGCTTGACGGCTCTGTGTAGACTGGGAGGAACAGGAGAGGAGGAGGGAGGAAGGGGGGAAGAAGGAGGAGGGGGAGGGGGGGTCACAGCAACCAGGAGCACCTCCTCCTCCCTCCGCTTCTTTTCTCGCCTCTCCTCTCCCCTCACATATCCCACTGTCTATTGTCTCCCGTGTTAAACTGATGGGCTGTGGAACAGATGCTTCATGTTGTGGAGCAGCTTCTGCGGCGACGTCCAGACACAGGACCAACAGCTGCCGCTGCTGCTGCTGCTGCTGCTCACTGCCTCCACACTGGAGCTATTTCCCCCTCACTTGCCTCACAAGACGCCATGTTTCCAGAGGAATGACTGGACTGGCGTTCATCCCTTCCTTCCTCACGCGCACGCACAGTAGCACAGTGGGGAGCAGCCTGGTGGAGGACAGTAGAAACACTCCACGGTGGTCTGGCTGCTGCTGCTGCTGCTGCGTCTTTACAATGCTGCGTAACACACTGGTTCTCTAATGGGAGTCCGGGGACCCCCGAGGGCCCCTGGCACACACTCACTAATCTTAGAAACACTTGCAGCCTACGGATTGTTCTCCGGGAAAATATCTGTGTATGAAGGTCTGAGAGAGGTGAGATCAGTGAGTCACAGTCAGGGAGGAAATGGTCACAAAATGAATTCTAATTCATATTAATCAAACTAAAAAAAACTGTTGGTTTAAAAAAAAAATATATATATATAAATACATCTATCTGTTCAGAAATCAAAATCTTTAGTGAGCAGCAGTGTATCAGTTTGACCTGGTTTATTTTATGAAACAGACACATTTACACAGTTGTTAGAATAAAAAGCACAAAACATTGTCACGTCTCCTAAAAGAATTGAGAATTTTCATTCCTAAATCATAGACCGTTAAAAGTTACTTCATTTTCTGTCCTATTATACTAAGATAATTAACCACAAAGAAAAACCTAAGATGTAAATGTATTCTGAACTAAAAAAAATCTGTCTTTATTTTTACGATGTTGATGATATTATTAGTGCAGCTTTGGTCTGTGCCATAACTTAACTATAATTAAAAAAACATGTTTGAATAAAGAGTCAGGTGTTTGTGTGTGTGTGTTTGTGTAAATAACACGGTGACTCAAACAGAAACTTCATTTCCAGCCAGTTGAAGACAATCAGCTGTTTCGCTCATTCATTGTCTCCTGGATCAGCAGGTTCTGATGGCGCCCCCCTGTGGTCAGATCCAGGAAGAGTCAAGGTGAGCATCCTTGCACATTTAACACTGGTTGCGATTTTTCAAATTTCAGGAGTTAAAAAAAAACCTTTACACACAGATAGCCCCCCCCCCCCCCCACTCTAACACCCCCCCTTTCCCTCCAGTGAATTCAAGTCTCACAGTGTGTTATTTCGAATGTTTGATCATGTAAATGACAACTAAGCTGTCTCCACCGTGTCCCTCCACACGTCTCTCCACTTACCCTGAATAAGGCGGTGGGGGGGCATCGTGCTGCCCACTGCGGGCCAGAGCTTCGTTGTAGCTGGGCAGACCCGGGGCAGGGATCCCGGCCAGTGGCACCGCCTCCGCAGCTGGACGACCGTCTGCTCCCAACCTCACCGGAGCTCTGCAGCGGCACAAGGGGGCGGCGTGGAGACAGAACAGTTGAAGTTCAAAGGTCATGCACATTCAGCAGTGGTTTCTGTCCTCAGCCTCTATATATATACACACACACACACACACACACACGACATCTCCCGGAGATGTTCAGTTTTATTAACACAGGTGGTAAAAAAAAGATGTATGTGTGTGTGAATGTACTGCGGTGACCTGCGAGCGCTCTTCTGCTTTGACTTGTAGCAGTAGATTCCCAGCACGGCGGCGATGACGGCTATCACCAACACAGCCACGATTCCCGCCACCAGACCCGACACGTCCACTCTGGGAGCGTAGGCTTCACACAGAAACAGCACTCATGTCAAAACACTGCTTTTTTTTCACCCGTGACCTTATTCATCAACGAACAGAGCAGCGGTTGTCAAATTACAGTAGGAACACTGCTGGTGTAACGACTCCCTCTAGTGGAACACGGTGGAATCTGATTTTTTTTAACTGCATTGGAAAAGTAGTGGAAGATTAAAAAATAGATATAGATAGATAAAGATGTTTTCAAGATTGTTGCATTCACCCTCCTCTGTGTAACTGTGTAATTAAATGATCTGAACAATCATAGCATTTAAAAAAAAAGTTTTTGTATGTATTACCATGACTGTTGACGTAGTCAGTCCAGAAAGCTTCCTGAAATTGTACAAAAAGAAATATTTGCTGTGTATATCATTCAGACGTTGCAGTTTCACAATGATGAAAAATAAATACACTACTGTGTGCTGGAATAAGTACTTGAATACTCTGTGATAAATTGAATCTACTGTGCAATTTCCAGGTCAAATTATTTTGTTGTTGTTGTATTTGTTTAATCATTATTATTTACCGGAAATGCATCATTTGGTGCAGTCTTAAATTTAGAACAATTCTAATGTTCTGATAAACTTCACACTTCTTCTCGGCTCTGTTTTCATTTGTAATTATAACTGTCTATTCATATACATATATATTTTCTGATTGTGGTTCTGATCCGTGACGTACCGTCTGGAGATCGTCCTCGAACACCTCTCTGGCCTCTTCACGGCTGCACATCTCCTCCAGACACTCTCTCTCCAGATCATCTCGCACCACCAGCTCAAAGTCCCAGCTGTTGTAGAGGAGTGTGCGCGACAGGAAGGAGGCGGCCGACTGCTCGTCCAACAACACCGGCTCCCCTGGACAAGAGAGACGCTGGTTTTAGTCCCGAGACGAGACAAAAGTCTGACAAAAGCTGATGTTCTTGACAGAAACATATGACAGTTCAGACGTGACCTCACAGAATACTGTAAAGGTCATGGGTTCGTGTACCAGCATGGCTGGTCTAATTTGGTTCAACTCGAGAATTTACTCAGGAGAATTGTGGTGGTGATGATACGATTGTCTTAACAGATAAGAACAAAATCTCCAGAAGTGAAAAAAACAGATGGATTATTTAAATGCTCAGAAGAAAATATAAATTCTTCTGTGTTCTCGTTCTGAAACACTCTGATAGTCAGAGCTGATAGTCTCTGAAGTCAAGGCTCTGGAGTGAATTAAAGAAGATTCTGGATTCTCTGAGGAACTCAAATTCTTCTGGAGAAACGTGTTCAAAAGTATCTTCAAAGTCTGCAGTCTGTTATTTATCAGAAATGGAAAAAAAAATAGGTGGGGCCAAGTATGAAGTTTAATTTTACATTTGTAAATCATTTTGTTTTATTTCACACTAAATAACGTCAGCTATTTATCTAAAGCTTTCTGTCTGTTCTTTGTCGTTTGTCTTTCAGAGTGACACCAGGAGCTGACCCTAGAAGCTCGGCAGCTCCACGGTCCGTGTAGCCACAGGTCAGCTGCTCTGTACTGTACCTGACTGGTGTCTGTAGATGACTGCACAGCGGCTCAGCTGCAGCAGGACCAGCACCGGGATCCAAACCAGTGAGCAGGCTGCCATTGAAGACCACACCTACACCAGGAACAACAAGGAAGGTCAGAGAGAGTCTCAACAAGTGTGGCCTGGAGGAGCGTGGGTCTGAGACACTCACCTGTCGTCCAAGCTCTGTGGGAGAACGGCGGCTCCGACTCACACCCTCACAGACATGACTGCAAACTCACGCCGAAGTTTGTGGAAGCGTCGACACACACACACTCACACTCACAAACGGAGTTTAGAGCAATTTTCCTGAACAATCCCACGTCACATCACCAACCTGTTTGACAACATACCAGCGGGAGGGAGGATCTCCTCCAACCTGCCTGTCTGCTCGCTGCCTGCTGCCTTCATGTACTCGCTTGTTTGACTCACCGTCTGTGTGTGTGGGTGTTTGGAAACAATCGCTAATCCTCACATTTATTTTGACAAGTGACAAATTTGTCCATCACTTTGTCCATAAACTATTAAAAGTTATTTTTTTGAAATTTGATCTTATTTATATATCAACAGTAATGTTCAGAATGAGGGCGAACTGACAGATACCGTTTTCGCCACAAATCAAAGATATATTTTAAAGGAGTACGGTTAAGATAACATTTTTAAGATAAGAATAAAAAAAAGAACAAAAAACGTTTTTTTTCTCCTACGTCATCGTACGGCCTCCATATTTGCTCCGTGGGTTGTTTTGAAATTACATATAACACTGACGTAACACAATAACAAATAAATTGAATTAACATTTCAACCGTAAGCGTAAAATGTGTAGTAATCACTAGATTCAAAAAGTTTCCTGAATGGTGTAAAGTGTCATGTCAAAATAAAGGACCTCGTCGAACTTCTCAGGTCGAGAGAGAGACAGAAGAGCGAACTTCCGCTTCAAAATAAAATAATGTTACATTTACGGTCCCACTGTTAAGTAGAGCTTTTATCACCACTGATTCTCACCTGAAAAACCTCAACATGAGAGAAAAAAAAACGTATAGCGAAATCATTAACTCAATCTTGAACTTTATGTTGAAACACAAAACTGTAAAAATATCGTCGTAGTTTTATTTTCTTCTTTTACACTGAACAGAGTAGAGATTACTCTTAAAGGCGGGAAAAACTATGTTGAAAGAATACACAGTCATACCAACATATTAACAAAAAAAATCATCTTAAAAATAATTAAAAAACAAAACAGCGATATAAATATCGAGTACCAGAGTCTCTGAAAGGCGTTAACGGTCTGAATTCTGAAGAACCGGAACAACTGACATCGTCCGTTAAAAACTCCTGGTGTTTTATTTCAGAAACACACGTCACACGACTCGGTTTTGCAGTGAAGCGTTTCTAACCATGTAGTTTGTTATGTTGATAAAAATGTTACCGTCATGTTCTCAAGCCTCTGTTAAAAACGTTTGCTTTTGGAGGTTTTTTTGGAACTCGTCAAATCAGTACCAGTGAAAACTTCAACCATGATTCAGTCAAACAATGGAAACAAAAAAACTACACAAATGAAGAACGTCTCATTTTTTAAAAAACGATGACGTCATTCCGAAACTAACTAAACACAAAAAATAGTACCAGGTGAAAATAAATGTCATATACAGATGTATTTAAAGCTACACCACCGAACAACACAGGAAGTTTGATATCTCACAATAAAAATACACATTATTTTTAAACATGTAGACAAACCACAGCCTACGGACATCAGAGCTAAATATGAGAAAGTGTCACTGTGAAAATAATTGTTAGTGACGTTTGTTCGCACGTATATAAAGTACACTGTAAGTACACAGTAAACTATTGTACATTTGTTTTTGGCAAAGGTACTCACTTTTGATATCGTCACTTTTCACGGTGACACGAGCAGACGCGAACAGTTAAAGTTCGTGTTTTTTGTGGTACCTATAAACGACTGCTTGTTTGGTCGTGTTTTCAACCAATAGCAGGCGAGGACGCTAAAACTACACATTGCATTTCCGGTTGCACTTTCTCAGATCCTCTATAGATCAGCTGCAGCCACAAAGTCTACGACAGCGGTGGAACAAAGACGAGGATCTGAAAATAACATTACAGAAAGAAGTAGTTTTTTTTAATTTAGGTTTGATGCTGTATATACTTGTAATTGGGATCATACACTGTTTTTTTTCTTTTTTCGGTTTGTTAAAAAAAAAACAACGACATATTTCTCACATTAAGTTTTGTTTTGCAGCTCCAACACGAACATTTTCCCGTGGGGATCAATTAAGTATTTCAGATTCCGATTCTGATTTTGAAATGAAATGACGTCCTCGTTTTCTCTATGACGCTCTGCTTCCCTCTACTGGGCGGCAGGGTGCACATCTGCCGTTTTTCTACATACAATTCTGTTTAAATGCAATTTCAGTCACCGCTTATAGTTTGAAACTTAATGATTGTGCTTGACTGACTGTCCTAGATGAGCTGTAGCAGTTTTAGTGGTGGGACAGGTTCGGTTCAGTGTAAACCCGTCCTGTTCAGTCCAGTTTAAATGGTGAGACTAAACCAGGAAGTGGTTTGGTCCACCGATCAGTCAGACTGTCGCCGATGGTCCGATCCTGGTCTCAGTCACCAGAGTCAAGAGAAAAGACTAATTTCTCTGGATTTTTGTTCATCTTATCTACAGAGGCACAGGGGGAGGGGTCAGGAGTCATCATGCCCCTCTCTCCTGGTGGTGGGGGGGGCTCGGTACATAACACTCAGGAGGTTAGAGGTCATTTATGTCTAAGCCTGGACAAGATATGAAACAAACCATTTTCCATCAGCACATCGCACAACAGCCACAAAGCATGATGGGAATATGCAGCCGGTCATTGGTTCTGTGTTCACTTTACTCTGTACTGCGTTCTGACTGTGTACAGTAAAGTCAACACTACTTCATCTCACAGGTACAGTACTGACTTCCTGTGTTTCCACAGACTCACTGCTCATCACACAGAAAATGAAAGTTTTTAGAACCTCTTATTAAAAAAAAACCAAGTTTCCACTAAAAAAAAAAACAAGTTTACACTGATAAAAAAACAAAACAATTTGCTTTAGCAAAGGTGCAAATGGAAGGAGAGTAAAGGTTGAACCTCCTCTCCTGAGCAGAGTCCATGTGTGGAACAACTGGTGGGGCGTGGAGCTCAGAGGAGGACACAGGGACACCCGCTCCTGTGCTGCTTCCCTGTGTGATGTGCAGGCAGTGGAGGACTCTCCATCTCCTGGAAGGATCTGTGGAGGTGACAGAAGACAAAATAAATATTATTATTTTTAAAGTGTCTAGTGAGTCAGTTTTTACTATTCTCTTTTAAGGAGGGTCGCGTGTTTCAGTACCTGATGATCTGGACCAACTCCAAAAAGGCTTCGTCCACGTTGTAGCGGTTTTTGGCTGAGGCCTCCATGTAGTGGATCCTGTTATCTCTGGCAAATGCCTGAGCGTCCTCCCTGGAGATCTGCAGAAAGATCGAACACAAAGACCACCGAGAAGATCATCCAGGGTCAGGATTCGGAGCTAGGATTTCCTGAGTGTTTAATATTGGCCGACCAATATTATCGGCCCCAATATTAGAATAATTGTGTAATATTTGTAAGAATCATTATCGATTTTCCTCCAATAATGAAACCTGATGCCTTGAAAATGCAGGTTTTGGGGATAAACTGTTGTGTCTTAAAGTCAAAGTCTCTAGATGGCAGCATTGGAGCTCAGTTAATGAATCAACTTTGAAAATCAGGAGATTATAATTATAGAAAAAAGGACCTCAGGAAGTTCCTGCAGGTCTTTGAGACTTGATCTCAGCACATCAGACAACTCTACTGAGGACTGGGAGGTCACCTCTATGTGCTGAACTCTGACACCCATCAGTGGTTTCTGTGTCAGTTTATAATCTCCATTATATCATGGGAGAAGGAGTCGGACAGTGAGGAGGTCCATTATGGGATTCAAACACCAGCCTGTTGTAAAAATGTTAGGTTTGAACCCAGGAATGTCTGCAAAACTGACCAGAGTGGCTGACATTCCCTGCGGAGTGCATCTCTGTGTTCTCAGCTACATTCCAAGATTCAGGAAGTGTGGGGGAGTGAAGTGCCTCCAAAGAGATGTTACTCACAACTCTCTGCTGTTCCAGGTCAGCCTTGTTTCCTACCAGCACCATGGGGAAGTCGTCTCTGTCCTTCACCCGCAGGATCTGGGTGTGGAATTTCTGGACCTCGTGGAAGCTTTTGGGAGGAGGAGGGAAAATTATTAATCAGGAAGCTGATTCACGAGGATTCTGAGTCAGAGACAAGAAAAGCATTTTTAACACTGATTGACACACACACACACACACCCTTACCTCCCCCTGTCGTTGAGTGCAAACACCAGTAGGAAACCTTCTCCTGAACGCATGTACTGCTCCCTCATCGCTCCAAACTCCTCCTGACCTGCTGTATCCAAAACTGCACACACACACACACACACACACACACACAGAGAGAGAGGACACATTAGTGTTTATTGCGTCACCCTTTCATCAAACTGAGTTGAACGGAAATTTCCAGAATTTTGTAAACATTTCATTTCCCCAAAACCACACACACACACAAAAAATCAGTGATTTTAGCTCACACAATACAGGAGCTACCGGTCCACTGCTGCCTCCAGTGGTAAGTTTGTGTCACTGAGGTAAACCCATAGAATACCAGAAGTGGATCAACGATCACCATGTGATATGATGGAGAAAAAAAAGAAACCTCCAGTCCAGTCCAGTCCAGACCAGTCCAGTCCAGACCAGATCAGTCCAGTGTAGAGCGGTGAAGATAATTAGACTGAACCACAGGGATGTTGAGCGATGAAGATAATTAGACTGAACCACAGGGATCTAAAGACTGGGGTTCACACAGTGAGAGACCAGTCCAGTCCAGACCAGATCAGACCAGTTCAGTCCAGATCAGACCAGTTCAGTCCAGACCAGTTCAGTCCAGTGTTGAGCGATGAAGATAATTAGACTGAACCACAGGGATGACACACTCGACTCAAACCGCTGTTGTTATGACACTGTGATCAAACACCACCTGTAAGAGGAAATGTCTGCATGGTCAGTGCAGGCGGAGGACACTCTCAGGCCTCCACCCTGATCAGAGGCTCAGTGTTTCAGCTCATCTGACTTCCAGTGTGGAGATTGCACCAAGACGAGGACGGCCTTTCACAACACGTCTCCTCGTCACCTGTTGTTTCCTCTGTCTGTATCATCAGGTTGATGTGGTCGGAGACACACTTCCTGGTTTGTCCAGAGAACATCACCTCAGTGAGGTCTGGGACGGCTGTCCAATCAGACGAAGGTACTACACGTCAGCTGGTGCTCTTCTTTGGTCCCTCGACACTTTCAGAGTCACGTCTGTATGACGTTGGACTGTGGTAGGAACCCAGACTACGTGACAAAACCAACAAGCAGAACATGCTAGTTCCAAATATACATAGACCACAAGTCAAACTCAAGGCCCGGGGGCCAAATGAGGCCATTTAAATCACTCTGTATGGCCCGCGGGAGCTTAAAAAGTATTTTCACTTATGGGACTACGGGAGGGAACGTAAGAAGGAAAAATAGGAAAAAAAAAATCACTACAACGTCAGACTGTTTTGCTTTTAACAAGACATTAAATTAAGATGACGTAAAACTTAACGCTGTATCAAACGGATCACCGCTGACAGACTCTTGTGACACTTCAACGTACAGAGCCGCGAACAACGACGGACAAACGTGAGGAAGAGCTGAGATACGCTGTTCAAACATTTGACTTACTCTGATGACTCACATTCTACTGTGAGGTAAAAAAAAAATCCACCCTGAGCCGGGCTCAGCGCAGCAACGTCGGCCAAGTACAAGTCCTAACAAGGGAACGAAACATCCACAGAGCAAACACTGAGTCTGTGTCGTATCACATCAGAGTCCAACACTCCCACTGCCTTCACACACACACACACACACACACCCTCTGTCTACACCCTGTCAGAAACTGGGCCATGAGTGAGTTTATGGGTGAGTCCATGGGTGAGTCTCTAAGTGAGACCATGTGTGAGTTTGTGTGTGCGAGTCAATAATTGAAGCCATATGTGTGGGTCAATGACTGAGTCAGTGACTGAGTCCATGTGTCTGAGTCCATGTTTAAGTCTACAGCCAAGTCCATGTCTGGGTCCATGTGTCTAAGTCCATGTTTGAGTCCATGTGTTTGAGTCCATGTTTGAGTCCATGACTGAGTCCATGTGTTTGAGTCCATGTGCAGAGTGGCGGGCCTTACTGTCCAGCCGGGTCTCCTTTCCGTCCACCGTACAGATCTTGGTGTAGGAATCTTCAATGGTGGGGTCATAATCTGACACAAAGTAGGACTGTGGGACAGAGGACACTGCATTAAAGACTACGTCTTCAGACAGGAGACAGACCTGTCCACAGACACAGCGACCCCTCTGTACAGTCTTCAAGGTACAGTACGGAGCTTTTTTTTTTAAATAATGTATTTTTGCTAGAGCCCATAGTTTGAAAAACAAATAAAAACAGAGAAGAGTTCACATTAAAGAAGACAAAATTATTATCTCATTTCATAGGCCTAATATCAAAATCACTTTATTAAATATTTATCCACTATTATTATTATATTATATATTTATATATATTATACTAGATACACTTATTATTATTTATTCACTTTATTATTGTATTTATATATTATTATATGTAATAATTATATGTATTTCCAGCATGTTTGTACTCACTTGTATTTTTTTGTTTTTAATCCTTTAGTCAATAATTTATTGTGATAATATTTCGATTTTTTGTCGATTTAAATCTGTGAATATTAATTAACCTGACAAAAAGACAGGATAAAAGTTTTGTGACCCCTTCACGTCTACGACCCCTAGTGGGTGCTGAGGATCTTACATCAGAGAGGTCAATATATATATATATATTTTTGTTTGTTTAATGGATACGTTATATAAATATTTTTTAACACATAATTTTTCATTTTTCTTAACACATTCAAACGTCTTTAACTACACCTTAAATTCATTCAAACTAACGGCACCATTTACAGGAGGACGTCACTGATTGTACGGCTCCGTCAGCCTGGGGTCATGGGCCTGAAAAACTCTGAAGACCCCTGATATAAAAGTACCGCAGTGAAGAGTGTAAATATAACTGTGTATGTACCGCAGTAGCTGCAGTGGCAGCCATACTTATGTAGTAAACTATTGTGAAAAAACTTTTCTGAAGGTACTCGGTGTACACACGTTTGTAGTTACGACTGTATATTACTGTATCCTGGTACCGCCCACGGCCCAACAGAACTTCAACGGGTTTTTTTTTTTTTTTTTTTTTAAGGGTGGTGTAAAACTTCACCAACTCCCAGACAAAAGCTCCGTCTCCACCAGAGGCGACTCGGTTCCGTACCTGAATGAACTGGATGGTCAGGGCGCTCTTGCCCACTCCTCCTCCACCCACCACCACCAGTTTAAATCTTTCCTCGTCTCCACTCATCCTGTGTTTCCGAGAGGGCCCGAGCGTTAGGAGCAGCCGACCGCCGGGCCGAGCCGACACCGAGTCCGGGGGAAGACGCGGGGAGCAGGAACTGGAGCAGGAACTGGAGCAGGAACTGGAGCTGTCGTCGGTCCTTCGCGGTTCTTCACATGGAGAAGAATCCTGACCTGCGGGAGTCAGTCAGGAGACAGCGGGCAGTGGTCACACGGCAGGCCGCTCAGGAGGGATCGTAGAGCGGATTGACTTCTCTGCCGATGTCGGTGTGAAGGGAACACAACGGTTCCAGAAAGTCCGACTCTGCTGCAGCTGCTGAGGGCGGAACTGTTTCCTCTTCTCTGTTTCTCAAGAAACTCCAGCCCCTCCAACCAACTACACCCCCCCACCACCACCACCTCCTCACCCCCTCCCACACACACACACACACGTACAAACATAAACACACACCTTTGCTCCACGAAGAACACAGAACAACATTTAACTTTCAAGTTTTTGTTGTTTTTGTTGTCATTATTGTTGTTCTCGTGAGCGGAAACAACAGCGTAAACTCAGCCAACTCTCCAGCACCTCATTCCTTATTTGGTCATTCAGAGAATCCGTGACGTCACTGAACTGGCGGGTACAGGAAGTGAAAAGAACCGAAAAGTATTTTTTTTATTTTATATTTAAATATATATATTGAAGTTTTTTTACGTGTTTGTCCGTTCGCATTAAACTGGGACTTAATATAATTTTAATTTATTTAATTTATTGAATAGTAAACATTAATTTATTTTTACGTCATTTACATTTTTTCTCATTTCTGTGACATTAACGTTTCTTTGAATTTGAATGTACTTTATTGTCAATGGGATTTTTTTCCATCTTTATTCCAGCTTTTGTTTGATTTACTTTATTGTCAATGGGATTATTTTCCATCTTTATTCCAGCTTTTGTTTTAATATTTTTTATTTATGTTGTGACCTTTTTGTTACTTTGATGCTTTATGACGCCTCGTGTAACAATGACATTTAATTATATTTTGATAATTATATAATTTTATTAATAATTTTAACCTTAACTCTTACAGTTTCAACATTTTTGCACATGCAATTTTATTTATTTATTTATTATTTTTACATGACCCTACATGAGTTGTTGCATTTGAGACATTTTTATGACCTTTTTAACTCATATAAAATGAACATTTTCACACAAGTAAACACAACAAGATAAAACGCTTTAAAAATTATTTTAAAAAACAAAGGCAATGAAGGAGGTTTGTATCACTTTTAATCTTAAAGTCATCGATCATCACATCAACACGTCATCATAAAAATACCTCCGTCTTACATCCTGAAAGAATAAAAGAGTAATAATAATAATAATAATGAAGCAAAGGGACATGTTTGGAATCGGTTCTGCATGAAATAAATGAATAAATAAATAGATAAATAACAGAGTTAACCCTTCACATGTGGACGGAATGACCTCATCACCTGTAGTGTAATGCAGCCTGCCCCATCCTCACTGGCTGAACAAACACCCCCCCCAACAGGATCCTCTCCCCCCAGTCCAGCAGCTTGTTGAGGGTGAAACTAAAAGGCGACAGCAGCGCCCCCTGCTCGGGCTCATCATCTCTGTTGCACCTCGTGTTGGGAACACGTTGACCACAGGACCCCGGGCTGCGCAGCGCGGTCGCCTGGTGCCCCCCTCCCGTCTTGTCGTTGTCAGCTCGCCGGTCGTTGGTTCCCAGAGGCGTCAAAGACAGTGTCAGACTTTTACGTTTCTCCGCTAAAGACGCAGAGCCTGATTGGAGTCGCAGATGTCTGGGCCTGCGTGGACTTCCCGCTGCTTTGCCTTGCTCAAGGGAACCCGGAGCCGTACCTGTGCACAGAGTCTGTACCTGCTGCTCGTTGTGATTCAGCGTCAGAGTCTGAAGGTTCCCAGACGGCGAGAGACAGACGTTTCTGTTTCCATCTGAACGTGTGTGTCCGAACTTCTCGTTGTCTGTGCCGCAGACCTTCTCCTTATTTGACCTCGCGACCTCTGTGGTGCTGCCGGTGACGGTGTCGACCTGGCGGTTCGTCTTCTGACTGCCGTGAGACGGAGTGATGCCCTCGGTGACGGAGGGCGGTGCAACCTTCAGCTGCTGCAGGGTGGAGATGCCACAGGAGGCCTTTTGGTCGAGAGCACTTTGGAAATGCTGCAGCTGACCCAGGAAGTTGAAGTTTGGGGAAATGGAAGGACGGCGTTCCTTCACGTACCTGACCAAGAACAGACACAGAGGAGTTCAGAGTCACTAATGTTCCAGTGATGTTGTCTTCTTGGGATGTCCGATAAAATCAACCTGATATTAGCATAATTATGTCATATCTGTAAGAATGGTTATTGGTTTTTCGTCAGATAATGAAAACCCGATAACGCAATGCCTGGGTTTTGCCAAATGAAGTGTACCCTTAAAATAGTTTGGGGGAAAAACGGCTGTATGCAAATATGTAAGCCACTAGATGGCAGCATTACAGCTCATTTTATTAATCTATTTCAATAATCAGGGGATTATATGCCGGATACTGGTGCCAGGAACTCAGACAGTGGTTTTTTCATGTCATGTTTTACTATGGCTGCTGTGCGTTTGAATTTTTAATCATTAGAAAATCAACAGTAGGAAAAAAAAAAGGTGAAATGGTCACACCTCATGTGGTGGCTCACTTCATGTGGTGCGGGGAAAAAAATCAAGTTTTAGTAGGAAGTGGGAAGGGTGGGGAAAGGTTTGACATCCTTATTGACATGTACAGATGGCTGTAGTTCCTCATGTATGTAGTACAGGGAGGGGGGAGGGTGAGGGGTGGGGGGAGGAGCCTTCAGTGATCTGGAACATTGTTTTTCAGTTTCATATTTAAAAGAATAAATTAAATTTTTATTTTAGTTTTGAAGATGTGTTCTGCACCTGTAGGCCCGGTCCAGGTCCATCCCCAGACTGTACATGATGTAGGCCACAGCCAGAGCCGGGGAGCGGGAGATTCCAGCAGCACAGTGGACCAGGACGGAGGCTCCGGAGGACAGAGCTGCATCTGTGACACACACAGACAGACAAAAATACACACCACATCAGGGAAACATGCTCCGACAGAACCAGAATAAACGGTGAGTCAATGGTCGGACGTGTCAGTGATGAGTGAGTGGCTGCGTTTTTCTGCTGGGATTTTCACCGATGAAGTGCAGAGCCTGAGGGATCCAGGGCAAAAGGTCGTCCCACAGGGAGTCATCGATGGGAATGCGCAGGTATCTGGAGTGGGGGAGGAAGGAGGGCTGGGGGCTGCAGCGACTCACACTCAGCACGTAGGAGATACCGTGAGAGGCCAGGCGGTCCTGTGGAGCGAGTCAAAACAAACATGGAAAACAATGTAAAATTAAACATTAAAAAACATTATTATTATTATTATTATTATTATAAATAGGGAAGAGCAGGCCTCTAACCTGAGTCACATCACTCTCTGCTCCGAGGTACAGCTGCGGCAGGATGACTGACAGTGGGGGGCGCTCTGCCTCTCTGTCCCGAGACCAAACCATATCTGGAGACAGCACCGTAACAACACATGGTAGAAGAGGAAAATCAGTCAATCTATAAACAATAGGTTCTACACTGGCACTTAAAATATTATTCATTATTAAATATATATAAATATATATATTTACATACATGTCGGTGTTTGTAAATATATAAGTAAAATCAATATTTAATGTCGCGTTTGTAAATTCAACGACAATAACAAACTTTAACCAAAAGTTAACTCATAGCTGCCCCCTGGAGTCTGATTGACAGAACTGCTACTCCCCTTGTTAGCAGCACATTAGAAAGACTGTCGGACGAGTCACTTTATGTTCGAATAAATGATATTTATTTTCTGTTGGTCTAAGAACACAAACTCACTGAGTGGTACTTATCACGTGACCCCGTGACGGTCTGGTCACCTCTCCAGGTTTGACTCCACCTGATGTCATTTGTGATCGGCTGCAGCTCCCTGATGACCCTGACCCAGGACGGTTAAATCTACTTTTTCTCTAGTTTTTTTATATTTACACAGACTTAAGGTGTACTTTGATTTAATTAAAAACAAGTTAAATTACTTCTGCCTCCTCGATTTAATTATCGCCTACATTTCCCCCGATTCTTTGACTAATCGACTGATTTGTGCAGCCTTCAGGCAGAGGTGTTGGTTAAGGACAAACAAAGCTTTTGACGTCATTAAATTAACATGCATCTGCACAAACACACAGCAGCAGGATTTACCCTGTTCTGCTCCAGTCAGTTTGTTTGATTTAAAAAAAAAAAAATTATTATTATTATTATTATTGCAGACTTCAGGTCGAATGCACTCATTTGTTGCAGCGGTGCATCATCGGACAGAGTGAGAGACTATGATGCAGAGTTACGGTGACACCGACTGTTGTGGAACAGTCAGCTGAGCCTCCACAGATGTCACGGACACACACACACACACACACAGTCAAAGAACAGTCAGTCCAGTACTCACTGTGTGTTCAGCAGCTGCAGGTTCAAATCCGCTGCTCGGTGCAGGTTCTCAGTCCGTTCTCTGTTGTGTTCGGATCTGCTGCTGCTCCAAACTGGCTGCGACACGATGAGCTCATCCTCTTTCTAACAATAAACCCTGCTGGATGATGTCACCGTCAGCCAATCAGAGCCTACGGAGGACACACACACACACACACACACACACACGGACAGCGCAGACGGCTTTGCGCAGCTTTTTTTCCCCCCAAACCAAACCTGACTTTATAATTTGGAAGAGAACCTCATTAGAACTAAAGCAGAAGAGGAAACCGGAAATAAGAATACATTTATATAAAACACCAACAAAGACACACACACAGCAGCTGTGACCTACATCAGGTGGTGACAGTGGACCAGTGTATTTACATCACATATAAATACGTGCACGGTACGAAAAAAAACAGTAAAATAAACCACAGTTTTTACTGTTTAAAAACCTTTAAATTGCCCAATAATAATTTTTATAATTTACATGTTATTGATTTCGCTGTTTACTTTTCTACATTCAAAATGGCGTTTTAACATCGTTATATTATGTATATATATTTATACAACCTAAAACTAAATCATAACATTGATTTAACATTATTTCTTATAGCAAATATTTGGAAAAATACTGCACTTGAAATTGACTAAAAATACATTATGTCACAAAACTGACTGAAAAACCTCCACCAATCAATACACACTCCGCTGGTCACGTGACACGGCCCGGCAGGGAAATTCTCTGTTGCTATGTCGTGGAGAAGACTTCAACCCGAACTATTAAAAAAAATAAAAAAAACAGAAGATACATCTCTTTTTTGTTACAATTATTCATATTTATAATGTTATATATTTTCTCAACACCTAGCTGTTATTTTATATACGTCATTTAATAATGGTCAACACATCGTTATTTTATATACGTCATTTAATAATGTTTTCTTACATTAACGACGATCAGGAGGCTATGCTACATCGCTGCGATATTTGTTTAGAAACTGACAAATCTACGGCGCTCTTAATAAAGTGACATGACCAAAATAAATAAATAAATAAAAAATAACGTTTGTGGTGCTCACCTGAAACAGACACTGAGAAAACTCAGTATTTTTGTCACTGTTTAAGTTTCTGCTACATAAAATAACATTATACATGTATGTAGCACATAGTGAATATAAAGTATTGTGTATATATATATTGTGTATTCTCAAACATTTACCTGATAAAATCAAAGATAAATATATTAATTACATTCTAATATATATTATTATACATTTCACCTGTTTTAACTGTCCAGAATTTTTTTTTTTTTAACCGAAGCAGGAATAAAAAAGTTCAAATATAACAATCCTTTTACGTACTGTATATAAAGATGATGCCTTCACTGACCTCCTGGTTTTTTTCTTCTTTTTTTTCTCACATCCACTACACACAGACCACAGGAGACAGACTCACTTCCTTATATGGCATAGTTTTACTTTCACATTTGTTTCATTACAGAGTAGATTTCAATTCTAACACAGGTATTGGACAGAATCTTAACACCGATACATGAGGTTGCATTAGCTAGTGGATACTGCGGGACACACACACACACACACACACACACACTCACACAGAATGACATAAACGACTACATTTTCCACTTCAAACGTCACCGTCCTGTGATTCCTCCGCAGACAGAAGATAAATGGAACGTGACGACGTATTAGAAATGTCTTTAGACTCTTTTGTTTTTCCAGCCTCCCCTGCTGTGCACCCCCCCCCCCCCCCCCCCCAAAATAACACACACACAGAGTCACTGTCATCCATGCTACCAGCATCAGTCAGAACAGGAGGAGTTAAACAGCTGGACCTCGTTTAAAAATGTCAGTGTGTGTGTGTGTGTGTGTGATTGGACCAGAGAGAGAGAGAGTCTCAGCTCAGCAACCATGCAAACCAGCAGGGGTTAATTTAGACACAGCGCCCCCTGGTGCTTGAATGTTACGTGAACCCCTTTTCCGAGTCTTTTTTCGCTAAGGTTGAAGCAGCAGCTGTGGACCCCAGACCCCATAAACTTAAAGGAACAGTTCAGCGTTTTGTCAGTGCGGTTGTGAGACTCCACGGATCAGGTTCTAGAAGGTTCCGCTTGTAAAATCCACATCAGCTTAAGTCTGTCATATCTGAAGAAAGTTTTCTCTTTAGACGTTAGATCTTGTTCTCTGAGTGAAAAGTAAGTCGTTGTTTTTCTGTACCCTGTTCAAACACGTCTTTTTTTAAATCAACTTTGGTTGAAATGATCAGTTTACAAAAAAATATATAATCACAGGTTTAAGCTGACAAGGATTTTATAAAGTGAACACAGCTGTCACTCAGTGTTGGTGAGCTTTACACTTGGAAAAACTTGAACTATCCCTTTAATCAAAGCACAATCAGTTCTTGGTTGATTTAAAAAAAAAAAAAGCTGCTCTCAGTAACTCCTTCACGTTTCCACGGCAACAGTGGAAGAGACGCAAATACAAAGTGAGTGAATTTCCTCCAGAAAAAGAACAATTGAGGCCAACAATCCTGGATCAGTCTCCAACACAGTGACTCAGAGACAGAACCAGAACCAGAACCAGACCTGGTCCAGGTTCCAACACCTCTATTCTATCATCAGGTCCAGCTACACCTTTAAAAACAGCAAGTGACTGGGAATGAACGGCGAGCCAATGGCTGACCAGCTGACGGTCACATGATAGGGACTTAGAAAATATGCATGAAAAAAAAGAAGGGATTGTGTTTGTGTGTGTGTTTGTGTGTGTGTCAGTACACGCCCACTACAGCGTCCTGATCCTGGGACTCTGTCACTGTGATGTTGTTTCTATGTGAGCAGCTCTACGTTAGTTGGTGCTGATAACGAGCTGGAATCAGGACAGAGACAAAATCAGAATGACATTTTTTTTTGTTCCTTTTTTTTTTTGCATTAAACTGAATCAGTTTCAGTCGGACGTCTGAGTTACAACATCACAGTCTCCTCCTCTACTCTGTCTCCAACTCCACAGACTGGGGTCGCAGCAGGAGGAGGAGGAGGAGCATAAAGGGAATGATCTCAGAGAACGTTACACTGATCCACTGGCCCGTCGTCTTTAGATTGATGGACACACACACACACACACACACACACATCAATCACAGGTGTGACATGAGCGTTGATCATTAAAAGAGTCAGAAGACCACGTGGGCCGCGGCCCAGACCTGACGCTGTAAGTGCATCATTGGGAATGAACGGACAGAAGTAGCCCACAC